ATCTTCCTCCAATTTTCCATCACCAGTAAATACAATTCCGAGGTACCTGAACTTCTCCACCTGCAACATTGCCCCTCCGTTAATCTGAAGAGAGCAACGGGCAGGAGAACGAGAAAGCATTAGGGTTTTTATTTTAGATGCGTTCACACGCATGCTGCTCACGTCGCACTTGCCCATGAACCTTTCTAGGGAGCACTGAAGGTCAGTTTCAGAAGATGTTAATAAAACAAGGTCTTCTGCAAACAACAACCTTCTCGACTTCACATCTACTACACCGATACCCTCACTGTCTTGGCAACTCCTGACTATTCTATCCATGTGCAACACAAACAGGATAGGGGACAGGACGCAGCCTTGGCAGATACCAGTGCGAACGCTGAATGGTTTCGACTTAACGCCATTAACTCTGACGCAGCCCCTGCTATCAGAATACAGTGATTGAATGGCCCTTAGCAGCAGGCCATCTATCCTGTATGCACGAAGGCATGTCCTCAGACTGATGTGTGGGATCCGGTAATAAGCTTTTTCTAGATCCACAAAACACATGCGCACCGGCGTACTCCCACGATTTCTCAACAATCTGGCGCAGGGCAAATATATGGTCAGAGGTGCTTCGACCGGCTTGGAGGCCACACCGCTGTTCTTGGATCTTGAGGTCACTATTTCACGTCATCTTCTTTCTAGCACCTTTGCGTAGACTTTACCTGGGAGGTTCAGTAACGCTATGCCCTTATAACTGGAACATCCTTGTGGTCTCCCTTCTTGAATACGTGCAAAATAACTCCCGTTCTCCAGTCCGCTGGTGTCCTTCCCGCAGTCATCGCAGTATGGCAGATACGTGTTAGCCAGCACATGCCTTTTTCGACAAATGCATGACCATCTCAGGGCGGTTTTCATCAATCCAGCATCTTTTCCATTTTTTCAAGCTTTTCACAGCTTCTGTAAATTTCACCTACAGAGATAGTAATATCCGTGCCTTCTGTTCTACAGGCGAGACTTATTGCGGTTGCGCATGGTTATGGAGTTCCTCAAAGTATTCCCTCCATCGCCGAAGAATGGCATCATCTTTTGTATGAAGGTGCTCAGATCTGTCCTTCAAGACTATGAGACTGCACTTCTTTTAACCTCGGAGCCGTCGGATGGTCTGCCAGAATACTTTGTTTCCCGTGTGGAAATTTGACTCCAACACCTCACTGAACTTCTCCCAGGAATCAGCTTTGGCTTTTGCCACTGCTGTGGCTGCCGCCTTGCGTGCCTCGACATATAACACGAGAGTAGAAGTCTCCTTGTTCCCAAGCCATTTTTTGAACGCTGCTTTCTCCTCTTTAACTGCCAGTTGTACCTCTCGTGTCCACGAGGAAGTTCTTTTCTGACCTCCAGGCGGCAGGCCAACCCGTTTATATACCCAGCATTCGGCGGAAGCCTCGAGTATGCCGCTCTTAAAGAGCTGCCACTCGGTTTCAACATCAGTTGTCATCACTAGGATCTGTTCAAACCGTCGTGCGATGTTGCTTGCAAAATTTTCTCTCGTGTCCAACGAAGATAATGCTTCCCATTTGATTCTCAGGTTGCTTCTGCCACCAGATCTTTGTAAGGTACTCCATTTCTTACAGCGCAGCGTGTCAAGAACAAGGTGATGATCGGTTGATAGCTCTGCACCTCTCTTAACACGAACGTCCATTACTGTGCGTCTTAGATCAGACGATACCATTACCAAATCGATCATCGACTTCTGTGCACAAGCTTCCCGATACCAGGTGTACTGATGCACTTTTCGATGCTCGGAAGCTGTTCATAATAGACAATCCGTTGTTTACAGAAAACCGCAGCAACTTCATGCCGTTAGGGTTGAGGTCGCTAGGGCCGTCTTTTCTAATCAGGCAGTTCCACTTTTCAGCGTCTACTACGACTTGCGCATTAAAATGGTCCATCAGTATGAGGGACTCTGTATTCGGCACTTCAGACAGAGCACACTGCACTTCCTCAAGGAAGGTCTCATATTCTCCCTCCAAAATGGGCGCATAGACCTTTACGAAGGTCATCGATTTAGCCTGTTCTAGCTTCAGTCGTAGGATTACCACCATTCCTCTGACAGGCTTCCAATCGATTATTCTATCGGCAAGGTTGGGTTCTATAAGAACGCCAACGCGGACGTGAGCAAGACTCATGATATCGACGCCTTAGTAGAACAGCTTCCATTCACTGAGGTTCAGGATTCTAGAGCCTGGGCGTTTTGTTGACGAGTCCAACAATATCGAGTTAGTACTTTATGGCCTGATCAACCAATTCCTGTTCTTTTCCTCTGAGTGAGGATATGTTCCAATTTCCGACTTTTAGCTCCCAATGGTAGTGTCGCTCTCGTGGAGCCTTTTCTGACGTGCTATGATGGCATCGCACTGTCTGCCTCCTCCGTTCAGAACAGCTAGCGACTCCGTTGCTCACTGGTATCTTCAGTATCATCCTTTAGAGAATACGCCGTTCAGTGTTCAATTTACATAACAGATTGTGGTTATCTCAGAAAGAATTAATATCGTAAAACGGGCCATCAGCCAACAAAGGATTTAAATGTACATTTTAATACAAACTGACATTTCAAATATAATTCAAGAACCAAGTGAAATCGCAACGACTCGCAATCCAATGAATCCGACAATGAAACATCTGACTTTTAACAATACATCATAAGAGTGATTGCATATGAATCGGACTAACTCAAACAGTAAAAAGCAAATGTGTTAGAAGTCAGGTGATCCATATATGCCCATTTGCGACACACCAGAATACGGGTTCAGTCCGGGATACGTAATAACACCTGGAATATCCCTGCTACTCGACGACGACCTTGGAGCCATTCTTTCCAAATTGCGATCGCGTTCGTAGCCTTTCACTTTCGCAGATTTTCCCCTCGAAGGTGGAACAGAATTTAAGAATAGCTCGATATAGCGCTCGCCTGCAAATGAAGTTACAAAGTAACACGGTCACTATAAAACAAATAATACGTGAACAACTTCGCGCCCATATATTTATCAGAAAACTGCATAAATAGTCGAAATTACACGGCTTTCACCATTCGATAAGCTGGTAAAGTACCCGCAAGTACAGTAAAACTGCGCAATACGTTACGCAATTTTGGAGCAGTTCTGCATAATATAAATGAATCCAACTTCCAAAAGAAAATCCAACTTCCAAAATCGAAATCTAAAATCCAACGAATCTTTCATTGGTGGAATTCACTGGAAGATTTCAATGGCTAACGGCTGAAACGCATTTTCGCAAAGAAACGTTCCACCGAAGATACCAACCAACAACTAACTTAACACGTGTTTAAAATAAAACGTCGTTGTTCCAAAAGAAAGTATAACAAACACCATTAAAAGTGGAACACTGAAAAAAGTAAACAGCGGCACTAAAGTCACATCGGTTAAAATCGTATGAACAATAATTTTGCACTGAGCAACAAATGCCAACAGTGTCTCGTCGCTCATTAGAAAATGCCACTGTTCAAAGGAAACAGGACGACGGCACTCGAACCAAGCGTGAAGTTGTGGGCTATTAGTTTCACGCTAAAGACATCAGCAACCTGGACAAGTGACGGTTTGACTACACTTTGCAATTTTAACAACCGAATATAGTAGAGCAACAAAAGGTAACTTATAAATACTCGACACCACTGAATGCTGAGGAATACTATGGAATCTTCGTTTAGAAGAGACTGGCCACTTTAATTACCTCAAAATCATGACCAATGATGGCTGCGTTAACCCGAAGCCAACCTGCCGCGGTACTGACATAAGCGGATTTGCGGAAAGCCACAAGTAGTACAGGGATTTCGAACTATAAGAACGACACCTTTCTGAGAATAGTTGTACTAGCGGCGATCAAATAGCCTAAAAATCTGCAGAAGTTAAATTTCATTCTTCTCCACCTCTTCCAATAACACTGCCTGCGAAGATATTCCAAGTGCGATAGCACAGAGGAATCACAAAGAAACGTGCTGACAAGTAGCGAGCTGAAAAGCTGACACCGATGTCCAGTTTGGCCAGATAATCG